GCAGGAATAAAAGGAACCAACACCTAAGAGTGTGGAGTTGTAAATGGAGATAAACAGAGGCAATTCAGAGGAGGCAGGTTCTTAGGAAGAATAGGGGGAGCTCTAAAAGTCATAGGAGCAAGACACAAAGCAGGGCTAAAGAAGGAGCAGTACTGAAGACTAGCTGATTGTCAGGGAAATTCCAAAGGGTGCAGGGAAAGGAGTGAGCTGCTCTTCTCCTCTCAGCAAACTGACTTACAACTTAACCCTGAACAAAACTGAAGCAAGAAAAGAGGGAGTGAACAGTTATTACTAGAAATAATTTGAGATGATTTGCAGTATTTACCTTCAATTCTTTGCATCTCAAAAAACAAGATCTTGTTCTTTTTAAGCAATACTTTCTTTTGTTTTCTTAACGTAGGGCATTAATTTGGAAAAGAATCAGGATTCTCCTCCTATATACCACATTTGATGGAACAAGGATATAAACTCAAGAAACTGTTTGCCATCCTCCAGTTTAAATGATTAGTGTGTCATTCATCTATCACCTATACAAGGGACTCTGGTGAGAGTTTTAGGGCAATGTACCACGGCAAAATGACAAATTTACAACTGCAGGTAGCAAGGTATGTGGAGACAGACATATTAGACAGAGACTGCCAAAAACAGATGGGTAAGTGATAACACCTTCAGTTAACAGCAGAACATTTTAGGAAATGTCATGCACTCTGGGACTCAAAGATGGGCACATGTTATTGTGTATATGTGATTTGTATGGCTAAATACCATAAGACAAGCATACTAATTAAACATTTCTTCATTAAATATGGCCCGTAATATGCATTTGGGGGAAATACAAAGGGGAGTAGGGGAATAATCAATTTTTTCAATGAAGGGAGAAAGCAAAAAATGCCAGAGACTTGTAGGGGAATAAGTGAAAAGTAAATTACCTATGAGCCTGTAGTTCACTGTGGTGGCAACATAAAGCTAATAAGTTTGCGATGCATATGCAGAAGGCAATCACTGTTTCTGGCATTAGTGAAGCCAGACCCAGAAGAGATCAGAACAAAACAAAAATAAGAAGTAAAAGAATGCAAAAAGAACAGTTAGCATAGTCTAAAAAGAGTGGATAGAGAGCTCTATAATTCAATACAAGGAAACGGGGAAAAATCTAGACAACTTTTTTTTTGTTGCTATACTATACTTATTTTATAATTTGGCAATATGTCAGGAGGAAGTCAGGAGTTCTATCAGGTAAGCAGGCCAGCCAGCCATAGCAGGGATTATGGTACTTCAGGTGGCATGGGAAGCAATCGGAGACAGGGGAATAAAGGCATTATACTGGATGCTTTTGCCAAGCATTCAACAGGGAAATACTTAAGGCTTGAGGTTCAAACTGCACTCTTTAGGTTTCAGAACAATCACCCTATTGAGATTAATATAACAGTTCATCAATCTCAAAGCTATTATTTCAGGATGCCTACATTCTCAAGAATTGAAGACCTCAAATCTTCATGTACTGATACTGCAGAATGTATTCTAGTGTTCTAGTTTCATGATTAATACTTTACTCGCCAACATAAGCTGGACACAATTATAAATCACGAGCTTTGTAATCTCATATTTTCATACTGAGTTGAAGTTGAGGCTATGTAAAAATATGAATCCTTCATGTTTTACTCACCATTCCAAGACAGAAGAGGATGAACAGCAGCAGCCATGGTATATCTGTGCAGCAGCGATCCTCCAGAGGTTTCCATTCTCGTTTGGAGCTCTTGGATAAGAAAAAATGAAGACAGTAGTTACAAAGACAACTCAATTCAAACGTCTGCTTACAACAAAAAAATTGTACAGGATGCAATTCTACAAAGCACTAACGTTCAACTGGGATTACCTTCAGAATACATCAGCTACCTTAGATACAGTATAATAGAATAAAAGTTGCATTAAAGCTAGTGAAACTATTAAGCAACTGGTCAAGGTAACGTCTCAACTGGTAATGAGAACAGCAATTTGCCAAGTAAATAAAAGCAAAGAAGCTGTTTTATTTATTCCTATTTCTGGATTTTACAGAAAAGGGAAGTTGGCATGACCACCCAAGCAATTAGTACTACTAGGCCCCTGACACACATTACATTTAAGATGTGATTAACAGGCTAATTGTGCCTTAAATAGCAATCCAGCCACATATTCAAGTCAATTTGAGGCATGATAATACAGGCAATGAGCCACAAAGTTATTCCACATAAAACATGTAACAACTTAATGGCTCATTTGTATCATGCCTTAAATTGAATGTGTGGCCAGTTGGGGCTGGCCTGTGCCAAATCCCAAACACTCATCTGAGTGTCTGGATCCACCATGGGCAGCCCAAGGGTCCAGGACACAGCTGTACCCTACCCAATCAGGCTGCAGACAGAACCAGTCACTGCATCCTAGACCTGCACTGAACTCCCAGAGGCAGATGAGGAGTGCAGTGAGCCCATCAAGGCGCGTCTCTCTGATCTTGGGCTAACTGCAGCCCGGACCTTTAAAAATCATGTGTGTAGCTGAGCTATACACATGCTTTTCGGACATACCCCAAACCAGGGGACCCTGGGTCCCGAGGTCCCCATACATGAGAACCTTCAAAAACAGTGTGAGCCAGTCAGCTGGCCAGCACTCATGGTTTTTATAGGTCTCCATGCGCTGGAATCCAAGACCCTGCATGCTGCCCAGCAGGACACCACATGTAGTTTTTACCCATCCCCAGGCATAGGGACCCTAGGATCAGGCTACCGCAGTTCCATATCCTAGCTCAGTCCATGGCCCCAACTGACAATCAGCTGATTGTCAGCACCCAGGTTTCGACTTGCTGGTGCAGGAGGAGCCCAGGATCATAATTCTGGGCTCTGTCCCCTGCACTAGCAAGTAAGGTTCAATTGGGATCTAAATCCCAATCCCAAAAATCACACATCCTGCCATGCACATGTGGCATGGCAGGAGGTGCAATTGTTGGGATTGAGGATTTGATGCCACCACACCTTAAAGTGAATATCCGTCAGTGGCCCTACTTCCTGTACTCTTGCAAGGCTTCTTCTGTGTACTTCCCAGGAATTTGCTTTCCCTGGAGGATAAAAAAGGTAAGCTTTTCACAAACTTGTTATGTTCTAAACACCAATGGCAGAAATAACATAACAAATAGCTAATGAACAGTTCTCCGTCTGCAAGGAGTAGGTAGCTGTGCAATTCAACAATTCAAGTGAGTAGCATGTAAAAATCAACAATGTTAACTTGATAGAAGGAAGATTTTCTGGATTTAAATAGTTAAAATGCTAAAAAAGTCTACTGTAGTCTCACAAGACAGAAGATATCTCAATGCATAAAGACTGTACGATTAAGATTTTGCACTATAAGAATGGTTTGCCCACCTGCCACAAGTGGATGCGTCCTGAATTTGGGATTCGTTTTTTGTTTTTTTAATCTTTACCAGATAGTAGCATGATTCAGGGAAAAGGTTCTAGTACAATATTTTAGATTTCTGTTTACTGTAATTGGGTTTTTTATTTAGATCCTACTGCTTGCTATATCCTTCTACATTAGTTGAAGGGAGAAAATGTTTCTCTGAAAACTACTTACATTGATTCAGTGAGGACACTTACCACACAGATGTTACTGTGAAGTTGACAAGGGGGTGGGGAGAGGGAGAGTAGAGTATAAACTGGAAGTAAATGAAGATTCCAACCAAAACTCTAGGAAAGAGAACTTCTCAAATGATTAAAATTATTACAATATGCTCTTGAGTTCCTTGATTCAGCTAAAAAACTTGAATGGGTGGCTATAACATGCCAATACTGAGCTAAAGCAAACTTTTGTTGGCAGTTGCCATCTCCAGTACCTAGTTTTGCAGATTCTGGGCAAGTACAAAAATTCTATAGGAAAACTGCTGCATTGGTAACCGGAAATGTGTTTGTAAGATGGTGTTTAGTATTCATCATTTCACTTTTAGCTTAATTCATAAAAACAAGTAAACATTTACAAATTATTAAAGCTACAAATCAGGTACGATATGAATGAGATCCATCATATTCCTTATTGCCCATTCAAACTGCAGGTGCAGGATGAAATGAAATGCCATTACAATGGTAAATTCTTATCTGAGAATATTTTTTTTCAAACCTTTTTAGATTAGCCAAGCTGAATGTATAGGTCCTCTAATCAGGAGATAGTAACAGGAAAAGAATAAGATCTTTGGATCAATGCTCACTGTGAAGGTAGCTGGCTGGCTGGCCCCACCTCTGAGACTGGGACTCTAAGAAAATTAAATTTGTAGATGAGACCTGCCGGAGGCCCCAGCTGCGGGAATGCTATTATCTGTAACTCAACTTCAGACCATAAGCAGGGAAGAGGACCTTTAAAAAGAAGACACAGCCACACACCTGCCTTTGAATGTTAACATCTATAGAGCATGCCTACGACAATCCTAGTGACATGAATCTGTAAAGATGCCAAGGGGCTGCCTTTTATGCTGCTAAAGGAAAAACATCTCTATTGAAAAGATCTTGTGAAGCAAGTGATGATGATGAAATAGAACCAACTTTACTCAAATTTACACACCCAAGTGGACAAACGAAACACAATGAAATAAATAGGAAGCAGGCTGAATTATGATTGCTGTACCATGCTGATTAAAAAGCCATGTAGGAATGTGTACACAAAACAAGTCTTCATAATCAGAGATGATGATGAAAAATCTCTTTTCTTGTTCTGGTGATCCCCAAGGCATACCTACAAAGAAAGGTCTTTAACGGTTTGAAAAGTCATTGTCAGATGCTTTAAAAGAACAGACTCTCTCAACTTTCAGATGGCAACTCCTAGAACTACTAGAAATGGTTTTGCTTATTTAATATTTCAACAAAACACAGGAGAATTATGAACCCTCAAATTTCAACACAGGACCCTCAAGGTCCAGGAACCGCTGCCAAAACTTAAAAATACAAACTACGAAAGCCAACAGCTGCTATACTTCATTCCCCATCACGAAATTCAGTTAAAAAAAGAAATGAACACTCGCATCCCCGACAAAACAACATCTATCGTGGCCCCTCAAACCAATGCATCTTGCTCAAGCTTTTCAATATACCCTAGACCTCACAAAAATCTAGGTCGTTTTAAACCATAAAGAAGCGAGGGAGAAAAGCTCAAGAGACAAAAACTTCTCATGGAAAATGCTTTACAAACAGTTCCTGTCTCTCATCCATGCTCTCGTGCAAGTACCTCTGCTGATGGCAGCCATAGCAGATTGATATCAAGCAAGAGACAGCTTTAGTGGTTCAGCCCCTGAAAATGACTTGACAGATGACATTATGGGATTCTATACTCTGTCAATGATTTCTATAGCAAACACACATTTTTCTTTAAATTTGCATTTTTCTGGTTTCTCTCTCAAATTCGCCTCTTGGCTCAGAACCAAAATAGTTTCTTTTAATTATATTCATTACTCATCGCTAAAAGTAGTAGTATGCTTTCAGGCCAAATTATACCCTCACCTAAAACTATGGAACCCAACAGTCTTTTGATCATACCAATTTTTCACAGCTAACATTTACATTAAGACTGGCACAAATTTTATTGCAGCAAAGCTAGCAAATCATACGTTCGATATTCATAAAAGTGCTCTTCAAGGATCCTGGCTTTACTAAAACTAATTTTCCCATGGACAGGCAATACTAACAAAATAAGCAAAATAAACTGATGAGTTCCATCAACAGCCACACCTTAGGTTAGGATAGTCCTGTGAAAGCAGCAGCAGCACTACTATGATAGGCAGGTTTCATCTTTCTGCATGTACCACCCAAAAATGAAATCCTGTAAAAGGATTTGTAAAAAGAAACTTTGGAATAACCCTGACAAGGGCTGAGAATATATAGCCTCCTGCAGCTATCAAAAATGATACACACACACACACACACACACACACACACACACACACATCTATATATCTATAGGAAATCTGAAACAAGTAGTTAAAAGTACATACAGGTGAATTAAGTTTGTGACCATATTTATTTAGCCCCTGAACTGAGTTAAAATGCATCACTGATATTTACAGCTCCACAAAAGCTCAGTTATAAAGGAAGACTTGAACTTGCAGACATTTAATACTGCATTACCACTAGTGATATTTTGTACAACTAATAATCTACTTTCCAACCCTTAATGTAAGGGCAGAGCTAGAGAGCTTTACTTATGCCTGTGCCAGGCAGCTTCCAGCTGCACCTATGCTCCCTCCACCTCTCATCACCAGGGATCTGGCTTTTTCTGTTTGCTGCAGAAAAACATGAATTTTCTCATTTAAAGGAGAAAAAACACAGATTTTCCTCTTCAAAGGAGAAAACTGCTGGAAACCTCAGGTTTCCCCTTACAGGCTGGCAGCTTTCCAGCCTGCAAGGGGCTGAGGGAAAGTGCAATCCAAGGCAGGGGGCGGCACTTGCACACACGCACGTGGCCAGCATAGAGCCAGGCAAGGTGGTGGGAGCAGCCCTGGCAGCTGCACAAAGGTAAGTCTACATGGGGCAGGGGTTGGAGGGCCAGGGCGTATGAGAGAGTGTGCATGCGTGCAAGATGGCCAGGGCAGGTGCCTGCTGATGCTGGGGAAAGTGTATTGGTGCTGCAGCAGGGGGCGGTGCCTGCCCCTCCAGCAGAGGAAGGGGGCAGGAAGGGCTGTTCAAGGGGCAGGGCCTGCATGGCCAGGCTGGCAGTACCAAGGCCAGTGCCTGTGCTCACAGGGCAGGA